ATCAACCCATAAACCTCATTCGCCTCCCTTCCCATCCCCGCCCCCACCATCGCCTTCAGTAACCTCGCGAGCCCCCTCAAATCCTCCCCCTTCACCCCTCCCATTCCCCTCAACTCCCCCAAAACCCCCATCAAGAACCTGCCAATCTCGCCATCAAGGTCGCCGTTACTGTTGGTTCTTGACAGAGAGTTGAGGATGTCGGCGTAGAGGGAGAAGAGAGAAGAGAGAAGAGAGCGAGAGAGAAGGTAGTTTTGGGTTTTCGAAAATTGTTTCTCTCTATGCTACCTTGAAAATTTAAATAGGGGCTGAAAATAATGGCTTCATGTATTTGGAACTTTGGCACACAAAAAATAATACAGGGAGCTGGCCCAACTGGGTCACATCCCCTTTATTTTTTGGGGCCTTGACACATTTTTCCCTTGATTATATGTTGCTTCCTTAGGAAAAATATACGGTACCTTTTTTTTCCAAGGAATAGAGTCACAATTATATTTCATTGTTTGTTGGCAAGGAAGTAATAGTTGAGAAAAATAGAAGCCAAGGAATAGAGTCACAATTATATTTCATTGTTTGTTGGCAAGGAAGTAATAGTTGAGAAAAATAGAAGCAATGTGAAGAGACACCGTTATTTTTTCATTGTTTGTTGGCAAGGAAGTAATAGTTGAGAAAAATAGAAGCAATGTGAAGAGACACCGTTATTTTCATATATCCAAGTACTAAATGAAATTATGTCTTTGGGTTGAGTTTCTTGGAAATCAGGAAGGTTTGGGTTAACTCTTTTCTGTAAATTATAGGAGAAGCTATGCAAATTAACTTAGTAAATCAAGGTATATAGGGCAAAATGGCCAGATTGGTATAATTTCTTGAGGCTTGGTGACAAGTTGATATATTTTTTTTTAAGTTTTGTCAGATTGGTATAAATTTTTAACTCCGGCGCCATATTAGCCTTAAGTTTGGCCGGAGTTACTATTCCGGCCAGTGTTAATGGGATTTTTTGCATAAAACTCCCTTATAAAAAACTTATCATGTTCCTAACCCCCTCCCCATCCTCCTCCTCCTCTTCCTCCTCCTCCTCCTCTTCCTCTCTCCTCTTCCTCGCTCTCTTCTTCATCTCAACCCAATCCCAGCCCCCAGAAACCCCCCGGTCTGCAACGGCATCGAATTATCCTACTCCATCACCGATCGCAAGCAAATTCATCCTCTTCTCAAGGACCCCAAAGCCCAGCCCAACTCCTTCAAAGCCACGGTCACCGTCCAAAACAACAACCTCGCCGAGCTCAAAGCTTGGTCCCTCCTTATCCAGTTCCAGCACCAAGAGCTCATCGTCTCCGCTAATGGTGCTGTCCTCAACGACAAATCCCCGTTCCCCTTCAACACCTCGTACTCCGATGGCCTTGCCTCGTTCTCGGGCTTCCCGAGCCCATATCTCAAAACCCCCATAGAGATAGCTGGAGATTTGACCCAGATTCAGGCCCAGATCGACCTCGTCGGGACTTTCTTCGGGTTACCTCTACCCGCTTACCCGTTGCCCAAATCGATATCCCTCGATAACCCTTTATACATCTGCCCATCACCGAAGTTGGGTTTTAATTCGAGCAGTTCGCCAATTAGAGTAGTCGCGAATGTTTGGGAGCAGGATGAGGAGGAGAAAGAGGAGGAGGAGGAGGAGGGAGAGGGGGGAGGGGGTTAGGAGCAGGATAAGTTTTTTATAATGGAGTTTTATGCAAAAAAATCCCATCAATACTGGCCGGAATAGTAACTCCGGCCAAACTTAATGCCAATATGGCACCGGAGTTGAAAATTTATACCAATTTGACAACTTAAAAAAAATATACCAACTTGTCACCAAGCCTTAAGAAATTATACCAATCTGGCCATTTTGCCAGGTATATAGCGTCTATAATGCTTATAAAGTGCATTCAAAATATTGGGAGTTCTATTACAAATTCGAGTGGTTAGTATTTGCTACTTCCTGAGGTGATTACATTTAATCATTGAATATTTCTAAGTTGCAGGTTTTTTGGCATATTTGGTTGGGCATTGATCTTCAACCAAGGTACAACTTCTATCTTTGAGCGAACTACCCCTAATAACTTTGCCTTCGGAGCCGGCAACGAAGCTCCCATGGACAGCAGCAGTGCTTAAAGATTAAAAGGAGTTATTGGTGCGTTACATCCTCATACTAACCAAAAATACAAAAATGTGAAACGGAAATGCTTAGCTTGTGCATGTATTCTTGGAGAAAAAGAAGTGTTTTAGGGCTCTGGCCTTTGTTATTACTGTAACTTATGATGCGATTTCTTGTGTATACTATGTTTTGTTCTTCTGCCCTTTTTTGTTATTTATTTATGTGGTTCTATCTGTCCTCTTTCTTTTGTATTATCTTGTTAATTTAGAACTCATGTACTTGATAACAATAAATTCTGCGTGCATATTTTGCAGAAGGAAAATGCCGAATGATAAGAGTAAACAGAGTTTTGTAGTCTTGCAAATACATGCTGGAAAATCTGTTCCAATTGTAAAAGGTGGATAAGAGTAAACAGAGTTTTGTAGTCTTGCAAATACATGCTGGAAAATCTGTTCCAATTGTAAAAGGTGGTGAGCAGACAAAGATGGAGGAGGGTGAATTTTTTGCAATTGAGACTTTTGGTTCAACAAGTATATTGACTGCTCAACCGTGTAATGTAATGTTTGTGTATATATATTATATAAGAAGGGGAATTTTTCTCATATAACTGTTCATGTAGTTTATAATAATTACATAGCTAAGTTAATATGTCGAAGACAATGCATCCAAAGAATCATGTGACTTCAAACTCATTAATGCTATTACATCTTTCATTTTGTAGGCAAATGATATGTTAGAGAAGACCTTGAGTGAAGCCATTACATGAAGAACTTTGATGCTGACCATGTACCATTAAGGTTGCCTCGAGCTAAGCAACTACTTGGAACAATTAACAAACACTTTTCGACTTTGGCCTGTTGCCGGCGTTACCTAGACCGCGTTGGAGAGACAAAGTACCTAATGGCGCTGAAGAACTTGTGCGATGCTGGCATTGTTCAGGTATGTATTGCTGCTTTTGTTTTCAATTATTCAGCAAAGAGTATATATTTATTCCAACTATAGGAATTGTACCACATCATTGTCAAGAAGAGGAGAGAAATCCCAACTTGATAAGAATACACATTAATCTCTAATTATAATATAATATAACTCATTAAAGTACAATATAATATTATAATACATTATACAATATTATACCACTACATTTAATACTTATAATAATACTATAATAATATAAACTAAATATTATAACATTTTATTTACAATATATTTTATTATAATTAATATATAATATATTAATA